CATGTCTGGGTCATGATCGGGAGACGTGTTCGTCGACGTCAACGTCAACCGACAACACTACAAGAACTGGCCGTGGCACTGCATGAGGAGTGGGTCAGATTGTCTCAAATCGTGATTGGACGGTTGATTAGGAGCATGCCACGACGAACTGCTGAATGTCTGAGGATTGGTGGAGCAATTACTCATTATTAAGACAAAAATCAAAAACGTCCATTTTCACTTTTGACAGTGTATCTCTTTGCGAGTGAAATGGGACCGTCAGATAAGCCGCCCATATGAACTGTTTATGGTCATGTGTAGGCAATTGGCCTGTTATTAACATACACTGGTTACCTCTAATAAAAACAGCAGTACATTTCCGCAGTTTTGTATTGTTTCTGAATATCACCTACTTTTTTTGAAGAGTATATATTGTCCCTATATTGAGTGAAATTGGGTTATATTATTATCAACGGTAGCTTGAAAATCGGTTAAGATAGACAACAACAACAACAATATATCCCTGGTAAACATATTGATGGTCGAGAACTACTTGGACGGAAATCAACAAGCACTTACGTACAAATTCAGTGGTAACCTGCAATAGCGGATATAATAATGATCTGAATATCAAGATTACGACTAATGGGATCAGTTGTCAAGTTCGGCGTTATGTAATATTTCTGGTTGAAACTTTTGATATCAGTCTATTAGCAACAATCTAAATATTATATTATTACGTTATAATTTACTACGATCTTATTGCAAGTGCACAATACAGCAGATCGACTATTATAAATCGTACAAGCAGCTTTGCCACAGTTTTAACTTTGAACTGCCATAAATTTCAGCGAACTTTCACATCTATTATCGCCTGACTGTAAAAGGTAAGAATATGAAAAATGTTGAGATATACTGATGTGCTTGTTTTTAGCTACGATTGGGTGCCTTTAGTTCAAAGTGGCAAACTCAATTTCTTTATTAATGCATGTAACATCTTAAAAATAAGATAATGTTATACTATTATGACCAATTGAACTAGTTACAGGGGCCAATGTAGTGACACAACTATCGCCTAACTCCAAATATTCGCGTTTAAATTAATAAAGCGTTTTTTTATCCGACATACATCGTCATACATCTCCCGTTTAAAAATGGCGTTCCTAGTAACGGCTTAACGGCTCGATTTTAAATACGATGATTTATACCCGTTTCAGATAGGATTATATGCTTAATTGTAGTTGGATGTGGCAGAAATGTTATAAATAACAATAATCAAGCGTTGTTTTGATGAAAAATATTGAGAGATGAGGTTTGTTATCTATTGGCGAGCGGGTTCAGCGCCCTTCAGCTCTCTATTTTGAAAATCCCTTTGCAGCCCTTTTAACGCTTTCTAAGGTGGTGGGATGGAGTGTGCATTTTATATCAAAGGGCCTGTCTTATCAATTCAGGTGTCATGGTTTCAATGCCAAGCTAATCTCGTGGGTTTTCTCAGGATCCTACACACGGCTGAATTAATTTAATAATCTATAACCATTGTGTTGATTTTTCCCTTTTTTTTTTATTTATTTGTTTTATTTTAGAAAAAGGTGGAATTTACTGTATGCGTATCTATTCCAAAATCAACCATACATTATAATAATCGCAGACAGTGCAGACGCATATTGTGCCTGTGACAAACCCTTGTTTTTGCTTTAAAAGTAAGAGAGTGCCTTTTTGTGGATTGTCATCGCTTTGTGCAATATAATTTTTGTAATCTTTTTTGACCGTAATATCTGATCTGATGAACTGCCGCTCATCAACCGATTTTTTTTTTTTTTTTTTTTTGGGGGGGGGGACAATTTATACAAGTATGGCATTTAAAAACGATAACTCTTATTCCATCGAAAGTTTACAAAAGTAACATTAATGTAAACATTTAGACTCGAATTATATCATTTTAAAAATCCACTTTTGTTTTGAATTTTTTTTCCAACAATTTTCAAAGGAATACAGCTTATGGAAAATCCCGGCGCGGCAAATGCTGCATAGCGTAAATAAACGAACTACAATTATATTGAACTTTTATTTTAATTAGATTGCCACATCAGTATTAAATCATAATGTCTGTCATCTGTGTACTTGTGGTGATTCGGATACAACGCTGTGCAAGCGAATTGTTGAAATAAGATATAACGAAATGAACCAGTTTTTCTTGACCGGAGATTAAATCCAATCTCTCACTACTTCATCTGACCTATGTACCGTAAAACTTTAACCAGGGGATCATTACAACAATATAGGATATTGGATCGGTTTATGAATCATCATATTGTTGAGTCAACCACAATTAATTTTACTTCAAGTATTCTGTTTAATTAACCAAAGTTTATTCGGTACTTTCCAAAGTTGATTTGCCCCTGATATAGTATCATATGCATACAATATCTTTAATGTCAAATTACATTGCAGAACGTGAAAATACGAAACTTTTTTTTAAACAAAAATTAACAATTCCGACTTTGCAGTGAAGTGAACCCTTTTTTGTACGCATTGTCTTCGTGGTGGAGTTGAGAAGGGGTCACAGATTTTTAAAATTTAAATTGATATTAAAGGGATGCAACACTGAGAAAAATTCAAATTGTTCGGCCCATACGAATTGCCGAAACTACCTGAAACCGACGGAATCCTGATTAATACTTACTGAAACCAGAATAATTCGACAATTTAACTTAATATTAGTAAATATTGAAATACAATGCGAACAAATAATATGTTTCGTTTTTCCCAGATCTTTTTTACCTTGTGTGATATTGATAAAAACGCCATTAAAAGGATCATTTATTATGTATATAAATCATCAGCATTGACATAACAATTGAAATAACATATCAAAATCGAACATGTGGTGTAAACTTCTCCTCAGTATACATTTAACACCGAAATTCACCCGGAGGAATATTTTTGTATAGAACGAGTATAATTAGGCACTTTATGTATACTTTTAACAAAATAGTATAATCTTTCCAAAAGATTCCCCCGTTTGGAGTGATAAACCCGATATTTTTTGCTGTTGTTATAAACACATCTTTTTTTTTTATGTTGGTTAAACTTAACAAATAAATGGCAATTATTTCTCAAATTTTTGTAATCTATAAAAAGACACGCACTTTTTACAACTCATTTCTATTTATATTAACAGCCAGCATGGTCAAAAACAAGGTCAATATATGGGACTGTCTTAAACTTATTGTCTATCCATTTGTATAAGATGTCCATTTCCTTGCCACGGCCATTAACATGGATAATATTATCACAAGGTTTCTATCACATGCTATGAGGGTAAAATGTCAATGATCTGATTTCTCAGTGACATTACAAAGGTCCATTCTATTTGTTTTTGCTAACCAAGCTGTAGAACATACAGGTCAATTTCCAAGCGCTTACAATGACATAAATCTAAAGAGGAATACTGCACTAAGAAGAGGACGCAGAACCTGTCCAAAAGCAGTGTTGTGCAATATACCATTTGTGAAATCTGTTTTCAAAACACCACATAAATCCCTATAGAAATTAATGAAATTAATCTTTATGGTGAATATTTTACCGTTATTCGTTCGTACAAACGGTGTCTTGGAAGACAAACATCGTTGTATTTGAAATTTATTGCTTTTTTAGCCGTGTCTAGTTGATTTCTCGAGGCCCAATTAGTTATTTGCCAATATGTTGCCATGATCGTTAAAACCCATTTCATTTCATTTCGTCGCTGTTGTCATGATCAGCTACGATTAATCTTTAGTAAAATTACCATTCTTTGGCATTGAAGAAGTAGAAAAGGTCGCCCATAAATATACAGTTGGATATGGATATTGCTCTATAATGAACAATTGATTAGGCATATGCATCTGATATGCTTACTACTTTGTCTAATCTTGCGTTGTTTCTTCTACCTGAAACAATAGCTGGTGCTTTGTTTCATGTTGACCCCTTACACACGAAGAAGAAATATTCTCGTAAAATAAAAAGTTAAGCCTACTATTTTAGCGTATTGAATTAATTGTAATAGTTAAGAATCAGATTACAATCCCACCGCAGGCGGGCTAGTAGACCTTTAGAATCCGCAAAAGATGCTACTGATTAACTAGTACCACGTTTTGGTATTTCAGACGGAAACAAAAGGTTCCACTCACATTTCATAGTCCACAGTGTTTGAATTTATTTAGAAACTAAAGCCGTGTTCTGAACGAGTTGGTGACATTTTACAGGGGTTACATACATCGCTTTATAGTAGTTCAGTTCTGAGTTAGAACATCTGTATCGAACTTATACAAATAAACAGAAATGATAATCCAATATTTCTCTTAACATCAGAGCTATCGATGCAGAAATGAAAAATTGTTTCGTGTTCAAATGCATTTTCTTAGAGATTATGACGTTAATTTTCAACTTAAAACATGACAAATTACCAGTAATTCCCAATTGCTTAGATTAAAAAAATTCCCACGATATCATAGTTGTTTGGAAAAGGTCGCAATAAAATGAAGTGGGTCCTTATGGGATCAAGTGTATTACTCTTATTGATTTCCGTTAGTGATCTTTTTGTATACCTTATATGCAGCGATCTTACATCTGATAACTGTAAATACAGAGTTCCAAGTACAACACATGGGCGTGAAATAAAATTAACATTTGACTTTAATCAAGCGTTTATAGGAAGTTATCCTATTGAACCCAATTGGTTGTAAAAATCTCTACAACAATAAAAAAAATAAATGGGGCCGTATTTCGTCATTCAAGAGTCATCATCTGGTGTCCACCACGTCCTCATTAATAAAAAAAACCATCGAGCGTGCGTCACAGCACGACCAATAAGATTTCAAACGCCCCCCAATGCTAATACTTTGACTTACCAGTGGAACTTCACATGTGTTATGTATATTAATTATATTATATTGAAACGCCATACCTAATTAATTATTATTGAAATGGACTCTCCCTTCAAATAGTGAACGGTATAAAACCACGTGTGTTCATTTAATAAATTTGTAATGGTCAGTAAAGCCAAACGTTTGTTACTATATTACAATAGGAGAATGGTATTTTAACAGATAGCAGCTGATGATATCCATGTGTTTGTAGATTTTGTGTTACCCACTTACTGTTGAGAGTAAATAATATTATATACCGACATTCATCTTTGGAGATCATTTTTAATACAAAACTAACGATTGTTTTCAGTTAACATTATATGACCAAAATGTTCACGTAACTATTATAATTGTGGTGGGTTACAGACTGAGAGGTAAGCTCATATTAAATGCATGTCTACTTAGCGTGTTAGGTCTGCTATAAGACGATGTCTTGCATCACTTTGGCACATAAGAAAAGTATAATACCAGTAACGAATTTGCAGCTCTCTTCTTCAAAAATGTATCATGTGAAAAATGTGAAATAATAAGAATATCTATCTGCATGCATGCCTATGGAAAGAGGTGCTGCTCTTGAACAACCATACGCTTGTTAACTTAAGGTCACATTACATCTTTAAAAAATATTGATACCTTTGCGATTTATCTTACCAATATGGAAATTATTGTCACTCATGCATTATCTATATTGACGTGGGGATACTGTAATTAACATGCAGACCATTTTTCTTCATCTTCCGTTTCTTAGTGATACGTCTAAAATTTCTATCTTAACAACAGTTATTATGTATAACCCACTTAACAACTGTAAAATTCTGATACCAAATGGTTTTCAATTTTGTATTGCAAATGGTTTTCAATTTTGTATTGCAAATGGTTTTCAATTTTGTATTGTAAAGTTTTGAAATGCTGGGTCAATAATTAATTCAGCATTTAAAAAGCCTGCATTTATCATAAAAGACACATCTAGACTTTATTTCGAAAGGAAACCACCAAAAAACATAAACCTAAAAATCGGTGAAGTTCTGTTTCCTGTTAGTAATTTCTCCGATTGTAACACTAATATTCTACAGGAAGAAACAATACGTCATTGTGTGGTACGTTTTTGTTTTAAATGAATGAATGACTATTAAATAATTAACGCTGTATTCGTCACGTTAGACATTTAAGACACCTACATTCTCTAATTAGATCGGTTTGACATGTCAAAATACTTCTAGTTCCTTTGTAACACGATATATAATATAGGTTTAATTAAGTACTTCTGTAAACTTTACGTGTCGAAATAGATTCTTAAGAAATTGGCTAGAATATCAACCTAAGACTTTTTCATAAACCAGCTTTCAGGTAAATCTACAATATTTAATAGCACCCTATTGAGCCAGGCGATTTCCGGATTATTGTATTATAAGAATAAACTTGGAAACTCTGCTAATGGATGAGCTCTTGGTTACTTCTCGTCTTTTGTTGTCTTAGTTATTCAAAATATAGTACAGTGGGGTAGATCGATCAAATATGAACCATATTTCAATCAAATATAATTAATTCAACGTGTTTATATTTTTCAGAGCATCTATTTAAACAAGATGAACGTCGTAACAACAAACAGCGAAATGGAAATCATTGACTATCTAATCAGCATAAATGATACAGACGCCATCTTGATTTATCTGAACGACAACAAGGCCAGGCTGTATATCCCTGTTATTGTTTTTCTTATATTCCTGTCAGTGGTTGGTACCTTTGGAAATATTCTCGTTTGCTGTGTATACTGGAAGAAAGCGTACAAAGCATCCTCGCATTACTTCATACTAACTCTCGCCATTTTGGATTTGGTTACATGTCTAATCGGAGTTCCAACAGAAATTTTTGACCTTCGTTACCCATACGTATTTTTCTTCCCAATCGTTTGTAAAATACTGAGATTTATTCATTCCTCTACAATAATCTCGTCTTCATCAGTTCTGATAGCTGTAGCTTTTGATAGATATTACCGAATATGTCGTCTGGGAAAACAATTTAGTGTAAGAAAGGCGCGAATTCTGTGTATCGTATCTGTGATATTAGGGATTCTAACTTCGTGGCCTTCTGTGTTACTGTTTGGACAGAAAACAATTGAACTGGGAATTCCTGGAGTCTATGGGGCGGATTGTTCTACAGATGATTCGGTACGAGGAACTATCTATCCAACATTATATTATGGATTCCTTTTCAATCTTTTCTTCATGACAGTCGTGTTCTTCGCCATCTTGTACACCAAAATTGGGCTGGAAATCTGGAGACGAAAGAAGGCGCACATCAGCGATAATTTTGGCAATTCTGAGACTGTGAAAAACTCCATAACTAATACTGTTTCTGATCCAACAAGTACAGAGATGTCGTCGGACGTAGACGACAACTGCCATATAGGTAAGTTGTTCATGACTGATTTGTATGGGTTCCTTTTCATATGCGGTCAGATTATATTCATCGCAGTTTCATTAATAAATCACTTTGTGACATGTCGTGCCCCCGGAAATAGAGTAGGGCTCTTAAATCTAACACCGACGTAGTTTAATATAAAATATGACCCTAGAAATTTAGGATATAGTGTGTAAATTACAGTAGGGCGCAGTTCAAAATATAAACAATAATAAACTACAAACAACCGCCAATCACGTCATTGGAGTTTTTCTGGGATTTTATAAACGTCATTATTAATTGGAACAAAACAGGTAACAGTGTAAAAAGACAAAAACAATGAAAAACTAATTGACAGTTCTTAAGCAATTTCTAAATTATTTTAAATTTGGCATCTAACAAAGCAGACATTCTGATCATTGGTATTTTAATTTTTCAGGGAAGCACGTAAAAGTCAAGATTCAGAAACCACGACAGAGAATGAGGGTTGGTCGGACGACAACGGTTCTATTTGCAGTAACTCTGGCTTATATATTGAGTTTCCTACCATATCTCATTGTCATGGTGCTGCGGAGTGTTCTAAAAGACTTTGAAAGTGGTTTGGACGATATTGGAGAGGTAATTTATAAATTCTGTGTCAAATCATTCTTTATAAACAATGCGATCAATCCAATAATTTACAGTTTTCTAAATGCAAGTTTCCGAAAGGATGCCAAACAGTTACTGCGTCGTACAGCACAAGCTTGTTACTGTTGTAGACGATCTGAACATTGATCTATAGCAGAACTATAGCATCTGATTTAATAACAGTTTACATGGTGGAAGAACACCTATTGGGTTAATACATACTTATGGTAACATTTAAATTAGGGATATTTTGACTAATATGGTAGAAAATATCTGTGTCTATAACAGATCGGTTGGAATGAACATTTAATGGACATTTTGTCCCCCCCCCCCCAAAAAAAACAAAAAAACAATTGGCCCCAGGTCCAAGGAGGACACCCATTCATTCGTTGATACATTGTGACTAAAATTATCGAACGCATGGTACATCAGTAACTATCTGGGTGTTTCCAGTGATGGAGGTTTGTTACCGTAGTTATTTTTTCAGACTAAATCGAACTCGCGTATTTTTCTTTTTCGAATAAAATTTGACTTTAAATAACACAAGCATATTGTCTGTTTTTCTTTTTCCTGTTAAATCATTTGAGCATCTGACACTGAACAAATCGGTCATGCTGCTTTGCCCCCAGTTGTAGACATATCCAAACATGTTCGTTATTTCATTATATTTTGATCTTTGCTTCGTATTATTTAATCAAATGATCTCTACTATATATATATCTGTTTGTTTATGTACAAAGTTTTGTTAATAAAAATACTACCATTTATGTATACATGTATATTAATTACTATAACTAATTTGGTGCATTGTTATGGTAATATTTCTCACCAATGATCATTATATTAAATACATATAAAAGTCAGATGCCTACTTGTTTTTGTTTCTTATTATATTAACGCTAGTTGTATCGAGGAATTTAATGCGTTGGTACATTTACTGGCACAGTATTAGAGTTAACTGACTGTATTAAATACAAATGGCAGTAGCTAGGATGCGAGTGAGGGGTGGTCCGCCCAGGGAAACGCCTTATTATTGGTGGCGGAGCTTTTGGTCTACTACATTGAAAAGGGGCTGTATTTTTCTGTCGGGACAGTAGAATTGTACATGGCGCCTGACAATTTTATTTTCCACGAAAACACAGCTAACTGTCGATAACTACGTTCCATTTGTATTATTGTGGTAGGGAAGGGAACTCAGGACAAGCTACGCCACACAACAAGCACAAGAATGGGTGTTAGCTAAGTAAACAGCTAAAATTAAACGTACTTTTTGCACGACATCCGTCCATAATAGGACCATGGTTTAGGCCTGAATTTCAGAAGAAAATGTAGTGGTCGTGGTTGGTAGGCGGGAAGGGGGGGGGGGGGTTAATGCAAGGACTGCTCGGGCTGCACATGGATGGGTAAGCATCACGATCGTGAGTTTTGTTCTTTTTCATCAGACGTGGGATGGGATGGACATTCAAAGCGCGAGATAATGATGTTATGTGATATCACAATTAATGCTTTGCATTAATGAAATTGAATCACAATATGATCCTATTAATTCATAATAAAAATTGACGTCAAACGGGGTGTTTGATTTCTCTCTTTAAAAAGCCCAGTGTGTATATTTGCCTACGTAATTTGAAGACGATGATGCATTGTAAAATGACAAATTTCCTTAACATGAACCTGGCAAACCCCATCATGCAAAAATTCCTGGATCCGCCCCTGAATTATAACCATACCTTCCGCTTTCACCGTTGGTGGTATTGCAGACAAGTGGTCTTATTTAAGGGCAAGGTAAAGTGACAAAAATTGTCACAACACCTGAAATGGGGGGAGGGGGTCCTCAAAAAAGCATTCACTACACCTTTAATGCCTTTATTTTTGTGTCTAGACGTGCTTCAGATGATACTGAACAATAAAAAATGGATGAAAATCAAAAATAATGACTTTGGAATTTGTAAATATGAAGCAAATATACCACTCAGCACTGCGCAGCTACAGGGTAAACAACTCAACATGGGAAATCACAAAGTCTCACAGAGATACCTGAATATATACAATACAACTATCAAGACTTCAAATTATGAAAACTATCTTTGTTTTAGCATACCACGTCCATATAATTAAACTTTTTTTTTCAAATATCCTCCATTTTTTTCAAGGGACTACTTTCAGACTTTTTGTATGGAGTACTATCATAAATATCATTTGGATTAAATGTTTCGGGTCTGTATGGAAAATTGTAAATACTGCATCACAATTTTCTTGAAACTGCTTTTGGTTTTCAGCAATTTTTTATAATGAATACACGTTGCTATCATTTGTATTACTTCTTAATTCACCCCTTGAAACTTTATGCCAGGAAGCATAAAGATGCACTGACAATTAAACATTTTTACTAAGTTTTACAGAAAAATAATTTGTTATAAATTTTATTCAATATTTATTCACACTCAACACATTATTTAGTCTTAGATTGTACACTAATAGTCCACTATTGAATGTGGAAAGGTCCAGTTGAATGGTTGATTGGAAAATATGATGTGTTTCAAATGGTACTCCATAGAAATGAATTTACCCTACAAAAATTATATCTAGGTAACAAATTCTATATCAGACCCTCAAAATGATTATTATTCTAACATAAATGAATAATAATCTATCCAAAATTTGGAAACAAGCCTTTTTGCTAACATTAATCAACACTTGACAACGGCAGTCATGATAGCTTAGATTTTGACAGTTCTGTTTTCATCAATTTACAGAACGGTCCGTATGAATAATGTTGATGTAGTAGGGTGTAATTTATAAATGTTTTGTTATTTATATGTAAATAAAGTTTATGTAATATATGGTGTTGTATCTTATGCCAGCTTGGTGTCTTGGAATCTAGACAAGATGTAGTGTCCAGAGTGTGTGTTGTATTGTATTAAAAGATGTGACAGTTCTTTCAAAGGAGGCGCAATAGTATACAATATTACGATTTACCGCCTGATGTAAAGTCAAAAAGTATTTACCTCATTTTTATTTACCTTTCTGTGTCGAATTACCGCTGAAGGGAAGTGTTGCTCGCATCAATAAGTTCATGCATGACTTATTTTTTTAATATTATCAAATCCCGTAAATGACACCTCATTTGTATTTTGATATGAATTAATCGTATTCCTCAGTTGTTTAAATTAAAAAATTAAAAATTTGAAATTAACACTATGCTCATTGATATTGGCATACGGTCGAGGACATACCAGTGGACACGAAAGCTACCTGCGAAATGTGCTATTACTAAAGGGAATACGACATAATTGTATGTATGGTGTTGTAAATGAAACCTTTGCATATCGATACAATGTTCCGCTCAGCGTTGTCAGTTTAACGATTATTCGCATCACTCGTCTAAAGATATGAGGGGTCATTTTCAAGATTGAAAAAGAAAATGGCGGATCCCCACCCCGTGGTAGCAAGGGCGTGGAAATCTCATACAAGGAAATAGGAAAGCAACTCGAAAATCTAAGACTCGACTACTGTACTTCATAGATCAGAGTCTAAATAAAGAGATGATAGCTGTCCCCAAGTTTTTTCGTTTTGTCTGTAGGCGTAACCGCGATTGGGCAAGAAAGTGATGAAACTGAAATTTTCGTTTACGTGATAACACGCGGATGTACGAATTAAAGGGGTATTGACAGTGAAATAGTGTATTGTGAGTAATAGAGTTTATTTTGGACGTTTGTATCCAAGGGTCACTATTCTGTGTTGGGAAATAATATCTTCAGCCTCGTTGGTGTTGAGACTACTATGCAACAAGATGGTGCCACTTTACCTTGCCCTTAAGAAGCGCTTGCACAGGGCTAGATCTATTTGTTAAAGATACATTATGTAAGATTTAGATAAAGAGCTAGCCATTCTTGCTATAATACTTCAAAAATAGATAATGTAATATGAATACTTTGAAAATTTCATTCAAAATACTCTATTACGAGGGGATCACGTGGCTAAGTGGGTAAGACGCTAGCTCGCTAGCCTGGAGGTCGGGTGTTCGATCCCTGCATTGGCCGAGAAAGTTCATCCAGATTTTCCGGCGTGGTTCTCCCTTGTCAGTGATGCAGGACGGAGGGGCTGACAAGGAAAGCTGTCTAGTCGTTCGGATGGGACGAAAAACCGAGGTCCCGTGTACACATTGGCGTGCACGTAAAAGATCCCTTGGCAGTTGGAATTCGATATAAGAGTAGGCCGTAGTGCCGCTGTCCGGGCAAAATTTCCCTCATAGCACACTGTATGGCGTATGCCCGTCTTCATTAGCCTAGCTTAGGAGCAGAACAGTAGGACGTTAAACTCCATTTCATTTCATTTCATTTCATTTCACTCTATTACGAGCGAAGATATTAGCCTTTAAAGGTTTGCCATGACGTGTGCAATAATTTCAACCATCGTACTGGTTGTTCGACGCTAAGTCTCGCTCCTCCATTTTTAGCTTAAATCAAAATATGGCTGAACTGTTCTAATATATTTAATATCGGAGAAATCCGATGGCATCGAGGGTTGATTATGGTCTGGATAAGTTAATTAATGTCTAATTAATAATTTAGAAAACATTTCTGGCTTAAAGAAAGACCTGCAATAGGCAGATTTAGCTCTTGCATAATGTATGTTTAAGGCAGTTCAAGTTTCGTCAATAAGGTTAGGAAAGGTGATTGTTGGCGAGATGTAGGTTAGGTTTAAGCTTGGGGCTAACATGGTTAGGGCTAGGATTACCGTTAGCCCTGTTACATCTAATTTGAAGTTGGCCTTATCAAATAGATCTAACTCTTTCATAAGAGTCTTTCCTGTTTGACGAAACAGCAATAGGCCTAAACGGTAACGTCTAAGAATTAGAGCCAACTGCAGATTTCGCCAAGGTCACGAGATGTAAATAGGGTTAGAGCACGTGATTGTTGACGAGATTGTGGATTAGGGTTAGGATAAAGGCCCGGTTGTGGTTTCGATCCCTGGTGTGAGGTGTGGCTTGGAGATAGGGGCGCCTTCTCAACCTCGTGGGTTTCCTCCGTGTGCTCCGGTTTCCTCCCACAGGAAAGACCTCTGCGCCTGCGCTAAGGTAATAAAAATGAAAAATAAGACTTGACTCCGATATCACCTTCGGTGGAAGCGGACGTTGGACACCAAGAACAACAACAAAGATACCACCACAGAGTAAAAAATTTTGCACTGTGCTACCACTATCTGTTTACATCTCGTGGCCTTTGACCAAGTCTGCAGTTGGCCTTAACTTTTAGACCTAACCGAGTAAACGGAGTAAAGCTGTGTGGTTGAGAATGCGGAGTAATATTTAAAAAAAATGGGGTATAAATTAATAAAGAATTACACTGTTAATTGATCGTAAAGTAGATGAAAACCTGTGACTTTTCTGAATGTGGACATATGGCGTTGGTAGGCTTAGAATCGGATTCTGTCAGTCCACTTTTTTGGAAAAATTTGTAAATTAAAAAATATAAGCCACCTGGGGTCACGACCCGTCATCGTTCCGTTTGAGGCTTTCGTCACCGTCAGGGCGCCAGCAGGTAATCGGGGCCTAGTCCGGGCTAGAAATGGTTCCACTACTGATATGTCTTCCGTCTTGCTCCAGCTAAAAATCGCAGCTAAGTCCGGGCCTGTACAGAACTCTAAAATGATGGCGCGTGCGCCAGTGGGTCAATTCAAGTACTGGGTTAACCTGGTGTAGTGTTTAACACCTGTTAAATTAGTGTGGCACAAACTTGTACCCGAGCCCCTCAGTTTTTCAATATCAATTTTCCGATTTAAGACAACAAATATACATGAAAAAAATAATCAGACAATTCGTTTTGTGCAACATTATTTCTAATGACATAAAAACTTGTTA